AAAGGCCTAACTGTGTCGTGTTAATAGAAAAAATAGTTCAGGACAAAATCTTATCTATTTTCTATTGCCCCTAAGTAACTTTACTTTGAGGGATAATAGGCATTGAACACCTACTACATACTGTGCACTGTGCTGGGCATTTTCAAACCCCGTAAGTGTCTCTTATTCTCACCACAGCCCTGCTTGGTAGCTATTATTACCCCCCACTTTACAGATCAGGAAACTGGCTCGGACATTTAGCCGAGGTTAACGAATTGGTAAAAAGCAGGATGCAAACACAGGGCTTCCTGCCCCAAAGTGAACATACCTTCCACCACTACATATTGCTTCTTATACGGAACCACAAATACCTCTGTTGGAATTACTCCTGAAACCTTATCTATAAAGCAAATATTTGTAAATACAAATATGCATCTACTAGAGAAGCTATAAGTTAAATACACACAGAAGGCTAAAAATAAAAGACATCCATGTAAATTGATGCTTGGCTTTTAACTGTTTTCTAAATTCAAATTTCTCTATGTCAGGATTATTTAATATAAGCTCAGAGCTCTTCAAGGAAATCAATCATAGAAACCAAAGAGAAAAGTAATTTTTAAAATTCTGTAAACATATGGTATGAACCAAGACTGAAATGTAGTGAGATACACTCAGGCATCTCAAACATTCTAACCACTGACAAACACAAACATGTTCCTTATTTAAACCTCGCTCTTCTTCCTCAGTTCCCCCGGAACAAGGGTTGGCTTGTGATTGGGGAGAGGCCGTGAGGTTGGGAGAGATGGGCATTCAGAGCAGTCATTAGTGCCTGCTCCTCAATGCCCTCTCCACCTGGGAAGGTGGTAAGACAGTGCATTTCCCTTAAAAAGGAAGGGGGCGATGAGAAAGGCTCACAGGCCAAGTCCTTCCCAGAAATGAATTAGTTCTTAGTAAATGTTTTTTAATTTCCAGAAATACACTCAGTTTAACTTTTCCATTTCTTTACTTTAAAAGATATATTGTTATTGACAGTGTTTCAAACATGTTCTTCCCAGTTAATATTTTTAATAAAAGAGCATTAAGGTTTAATTCCTTAATTCAAAGACAGATTTGAGACAAGTCAGCCCATCAGACTTCATCAACTCTCGAGTGGAGTGCCTTATTTCCTTTCCTCTATATTCAGCTAATAAGCATGTGACCTTTTGAAATGTTGGCTTATGGTCTGAGAACTATTATAGTATGACTCATCTCTCAGACCTTCTACAGTCCCTTCTGATTGCTCTCCCTGGCAAAAAACAAATAATATTAGTTTCCTAGTGAAGCCCCTGGTCTATTTTCTACCTTATTTAAGAATCATACAATTAGAATTATTAAATGCAATATTATTTCTTGATATCTTTCAGCTTTAACTTATCCAATTAATATTTTTTTCAATTTAAACTTTTTGATCAGCCTGAATACATTACAATGATTGTCAATATCTTGATTAAATTCTTCAATTTTATTAGAATTTTGTTGGATAAGCTACCACCTGCTATGAATGGACAGTTAACCAGGATTTTCAAAGATTTGCATTATGGAGCTTATGAGGACCAAGGGGAAGGAAAGGTTGATGCACCGTCTAGGAATCTGGAAGAAGGGAGAGAGGAATTTAGGATTTGGTGGAATGATGATTTGTGCCTTCCTTCTGTAATACGAAGTTGAAATAAAATGAACCTCACTTTATGGGATAGGGAGATTCCTAAAAAAATAAACCCCCAGCAAATCTAATTTCTGTTCATTTAGTTTGAGATCAAAAACATGCAGCAAAAATATTAAAACACTCAAGGATCTGAAGTGACTGGAGGTATTTTGTAATGGGAAAAATAATAAACATTTTATAAATTCTACAAAATTGTAGCTAAAATAGACACTGATTTGTTTCATTAAATCCTAGAATACTTAGTTTTGATTGACAGAATCTATATTATTAAGAGATAAATTTAAGTTAAAAATGGGTAATTCAGTTGTATAAATGACAGTAAACAATAAACAAATTACCACGAAGAGATGGTAAAACTAAAAATTATTCATAAACTAGGAAAAGTCAGTTTGTTTCCAAGTACCTTCCACCGAATTCATAAAGTTAGAAACTTTGGTGGGAAAATACCCTCTCTTCACTCCGCACCACACCCCAAACACAATGTGTCCACTGGTTATACTGACAGATCGAAAGATATCCTGGGCTGTTTTTTTCAGTACAGAAGGATTATGGAGATAGTACCACTGACTTCCATTGGAAAATTAGAAATGAGTTTGTCTAAAATAAAATATCTAGTTTCCATATCTTAATAAACAAGAAATAGTAAGGAAAATACACACACAAAGAAAAGAAAAAAAAAGTTCAGAAAGCATTAATGCAGAGTTTCAAATATAATTTTTATTTTGCTGTCAAAAGTTTAAAATGTCAAACAGAAAACCCTGGACTACGACATCTGTTTTGATTCATAGTTACCTCCTTATCTAATACAGATGTGTCTCACTTTTTACTTCTAATAAAATATAGTTCTATAGATGTCATTTTTCAAACAACAAACACTAAATGTACCAAAAAGCTTTTAATATTTAAAAAGTCAAATAATTAGTTATTATGAAGAAGTCTTCCTGTAATGTAATAGATCTTTCCTCTAAATTATTTGGTGGGAACTAAGGTAACTCGTCTTCATGGTTCAGAGAAGGTTTTTGCCTGTACTGTCTCATTTGGTTGTAGTAATAGCCAGTACTTATTGGCTACTTACTATGTGCCATGTGCTGTACTGAGTGCTTTACTTAGATGATATTATTGAATCCTCACAACACTTTTGTGAAGTAGTTACTACTAATGCTCCCATTTTACAGCTAAGAAAGTAAAGTCTGCAAAGGTCACCCAGCTAGTTAGGTATGGAGTAAAGACTTGAACTAGTCTAATCTAAAGGCCATCCTCCTTAACTATCCGTCTAGAAAACTTAACTCTACAAAGTGGGCAGAGCAATCTACAATAGCTAGGATTTGGAAACAGCCTAGATGCCCGTCAGCAGATGATTGGATCAAAAAACTATGGTACATCTGCACAATGGAATGTATGGTATACCTACACTATGCTGCCATAAAAAAGAAGGAATTCTTACCATTTGCAGCAACCTGGATGGAATTGGAGAACATCATGCTGAGTGAAATAAGCCAGTCAATGAAAGAGAAACACCACATGGCCTCACTCATTTATGGATAATAAAGAACATTATAAGCTGATGAACAAAAAGATAGATACAGAGACAGTAAAGCAACAAGCAGACTGTCAAATTACAGCAGGGAGGGGAGGGAGATCTGGGGGAGATAATAGATCAACTGAAGGACTTGTATGCATGCATATAAGTACAACCAATGGACACAAAACTCTGGGGGGGGACATGTATGGGAGTGAGGGGGGAGGCAATGGTAAGATATGTATACAGATAATAATTTAATAAAAATTAAAAAATAAAATAAAATCATGTACTAGGAAAAAAAAAAGGATTTGAACTAAGTCTAACTCTAAAGGCCATCCTCCTTAACTATCCGTCTAAAAACTTAACTCTACAAAGTGGGCAGAGCAAACAAACTAAATATGAGGTGTGAGCCTGTGGGGGTTAACTGACTGACCTAAAGAAACCCTGCTGGCAGGAATATTAAACCAAGGTGTTCTGACTCAGATTTTAAATTCAATATTCTTTCTACTATATTAATATTACATGCCAACTTTTTTCTAAGCAAGACACACCTCTGCTCCATAGCATGAATTCACACAATTCTCCTTGGTAGCACAGATTTTGTTTTTCTTAATTCATACAATCAAATTGTTAAAAAATAATAATAAAATTTTAAAAGGTAGTAATAAATTCAATCATTTTAGGTAGCACATAAATAAGACATAGGCTGAGACCGGTTTGGCTCAATGGATAGAGCATAGGCTTGGGGACTGAAGGGCCCCGGGTTCGATTCCGGTCAAGGACATGTACCTTGGTTGCGGGCACATCCCTAGTATGGGGTGTGCAAGAGGCAGCTGATCGATGACTCTCTCTCATTGATGTTTCTAACTCTCTATCTCTCTTCCTTCCTCTCTGTAAAATAATCAATAAAATATATATATTTTTTAAAAGACATAGCAGAGCTGATTTGCCTACACATAATAAAAGGGATCTTTTATTTTTGCAAAGTGAGTTAGCCAGTATTGCAAGAAACAGTCTAGTAGTTAGTAGTGGTTAAAAACTAAACTCTGGAGTCTAATTACTCAGTTCAAACCCTAGCTCTACCATCTGCTAATTTTATCACCATATTCACATTTATTTAAACTTTCTGTGCCTCAGTTTCTTTATCTGTAAAATGGGGGTGATAATAGTACTTACCCTAAATGGTCATTGTGAAGATTATGTAAGTTAATGTGTAAGAAGTGCTCAAACAGTGAGTGCCTGGTATGTGGTGAGCACCTCATTAATATCAACTAGCACTATTATTACTTTTGCACAATGAGATGAGCTTTTATTTAATATAGAAAGTGTATTTTTAATTTCCTTTTTCTATTTTAAGGAACAATATTGCTTCTTTCCACAATTGTTTCTTTAGAAATAATTAATATAATTAAATTACATTTCTTTTCAGAATACATCCTTCTTTAGCTATTATTCAGCATTATTCATTTGCTAGAACATACATGAACAAATGTCAGCTCACTTACACTATATTTTACCTTATCTTTCATTAACCTTCCAATTTATCAAAAGAATCTGGAATGTTATCAGCACTTAATATCATTTCATGTGTAGCGTCCCACCATTTTATATTTTCAGGAAAACCTCAAGTTATCTCCAGTCTGTCACTTTTAAGACACACACACACAAAAAGAAAAAAAGAAAATAAACAATATCGGGGGGCGGAAGGGGGGGGTGTGGGTAGGAATAGAGAGAAAGTACTTACCGGTACCTGAATTGTGCACTTTTGTTGTGTGCTCAGTTATACTTCCAGGTTACATGGATGCAAAAAAATCAGATCCCAAAGCCTCGATTCTAAAAAGTGGAGGCACTGCAAAGTCTAAGAGTAGCGAAGAAGAACACAAGGAAGCACTGAAGAAGGAAATCTCTTTCCCAGATACTGATGAGTCCTTGGTGCACAAAACAGAGTCAGAGAGAAAAGCAAAAGACACTGATATGGACACAGGGAAGATAGACATGGAGGCCGAGGTAAAGGAGAGTGTCATGGGAATGCCAAAAAGCGAGGAAGCCCAGGTAAAGAAAAGAGAGGCCGGAATACCACAAGGACAAGCATCCCAAGTAAAGGAGAGCGAGGTGGAAACACCACAAGGCCAAGCATCCCAAGTGGAGGAGAGTGAGGCCAGAACACCAAAAGCACCACGAGCGAAAGTAAAGAAGGGCGAGGCCAAAACACCCAAAGGACCAAAAGCGAAAGTAAAGAGTGAGGGTGGGACGCCACCCGGGCAAAAATCTCACGAAGAAACTGAGGGTTCTGCAGCTAAAGGAAACCAGGTCAAAGAAAAGGAAGATGAAGCAAAGACCAAAGATACCGAAAAAACTGATGTCCAAAACAAGAAAAGTGGTGAAGGGAAGGACCAAGTTAAAGGAAAGGAAGAACCACCAGTCAAGCGTAAAAAAGCAAAAGCAAAAAAGGACGCAGGCAATTAAACGAAGGAAGTACCATGAGAGGAGGGAGAGTGAAGATAAGTGAAAGGAAAGCCGGAAGACAACTGATCACTATGGATCCTATCGCCCAGATCCAAGTCCTAGCCCAGCCATTGCTTAAATGGATTACAGTTATAGAATGCTTACGATCTATGTATCTGCAGAGTTTTACTCTTTGAAAGTTTCACCATTTTTAGACCTCTCAGCCACAAACCTGTTTCCAACCTTTTTATAAGTTGATACTTATATTACTTAGTCAAGGAAGCCTGGATACTTTCTGAAATAAAACGTTTTTATTAAATACATGTATAATATTTTTTTGACAAATATTATATTTGTGATAGCCTAACCAACCAACCAAAAATTTTCATGGTGGGCCTAATGTTTGCAAGACACTGTTCTAGCAAGAAGGGATATACGGAGGGGGGGGGGGGGGGGGGAATGTCAGAGTCCCGGCAATTAAATTGCTTGTAACATATATAGTGACATAATATGACAATTTTTTAAAAAAATAGACTGAAGAGTCAGAATGTAGTTTAGATGGACAATATAATAAAAGTTACCAACTTCTTGGTATAAGAAGGTAAAGAGATTATCTTTATGGGGAAGGGAATGATGGTATATGACATGTCTCAAAAGATGAGCAAGATGTTACTATGCTGATGATGTAAATAGAGCAAAAAACAAGGCAAGGGGATTAATGACTGCTGTGCCATGCTCCAGGGGAGAAGGCAAGGGAATTGTTGCAGCAGGTTTATGGGAAGTATTCTGGGGTATGATTTTGAAAAGGAGGGTTAAAAGAAGATTCTGAAAGGATTTGCAACACGGGCTTGGAATTTGTATTATACTCATTAGGCAAATGGAAGCTTTCTGAGGTATATGTGAAGGAGAGTCAAGTGAATAAGGTTGCATTACTAACATGATAATTTTGTGACTGTGCAAAATAGAGTGAAAGGGAAAAACAACATAGGCAGTAAATCTAGTGAAGAGGTGCTTGGAATAGTACGTGGTGGAAAGAGAATAAACAGAAGGATGAAATATTTTTTCAATGAAGAATCACTACTTATGATGACTGACTACATATGAGTATGGGGGGAAATGTATGACTCCATAACTTTTGAAACTGGCTGACAAAAAATCAATAACAAACTAGGAGCTAGTTTGTAGGGCAGGGAGGGAACAACAAATTGAGTTTGAAGGAGCAAGCAATAATATTTATCTTTCAAGAGAGAACTGGAGTCAGTCCAACGGAGGTAACAATTGAAGGCCTAAGAGTAGGAGCTCCCCAAAGGGGCAAGGACAGAGCTAGCAGAGTAGAGCTAGTGCAGGTGCAAGAACTACACCTGTGACATGTGGCAGGCTGGAGGAGAACGCTGACTCAGACAGGAAGATATAGGAAAACCTGCACAATGATGAGTTGCAAAAAGAAAGGATGGTTATAGGATAGCCGAGACTTCAGGGAGAATGAGGCCTGAAAGACATCATTGCAGGGGCAATGTAGATAGCTGACAAACCTGTAAACAGCACTTTCCAAAAAAAGGTAGTGATGAGGTTTTCAGAAATTTTATTCTTATACTATTCACTCTGTGCTGGTTATATTCTCCCCCTTACTCTGAATGTTATATTCATTTTTGTAGTCACGGGATATGGATAAACGAAAGTACCTTCAGATGAGAACTTCAGCAATAGTAGTAAATAGAACTTCAGCAATAAATCAATGTAGATAAGCTAGAATAATGTTTATGGATTATGATGGTAAGGGGACCCAAATCATTTCAAGAGAGTAGGAAGTTTCACAATTTCACCTGGGGGAGAAAAACATACAAGGAGACAATAAGAATCATTTTCAAATATATGAATGTCCATCATGGATTAGAATATTTTGTATGGCTCCAAGGAGATAGCACCAGTGAATGAAAGGTTCAAGGTAACAGCTTTCTGTCTCAACATAAGGGAAGTGTTTAAGACTGGAAGAGATTAAGACTGTGTGATCAGCCCAGCCGATGTGGCTCTGTGTTTGAGTGTAGACCTATGAACCAAGAGGTCCCAGGTTCAATTCGCAGTCATCGCACATGCCCGGATTGCAGATCGATCCGTAGTAGGGGGCGTGCAGGAGGCAGCTGGTTGATGCGTCTCATCAAGGTTTCTATCTCTCTCTCCCTCTTGCTCTTCCCCTCTCCCTAAATCAATAACAGATTGCATGATCTCTGGTGGATGTGTTATGGAAGAGATTCTTAGGAATCAGCTGAGTGGTTGGAATAGATTACTTTATGAGTCTATAATTTAGAGTATAAAATTATTTTGGACTCACCAGATGTCTTCCAAGGAACCTTTTCAAACTAACCTGATATGCTAGAATTCTTTAGGGAGGTTTAGCAAGAGAGCCCAAACTTTAGTCCCTGCCCATCGTATAAAATGTTTCATAAATGGCTTATTCTCAGTAACTACCAGCTGAAGAGAGCAGCTTCTAGCACAATTCAAACCACTACCCTACCACAGCCCAGCCACAGGGGAAGCCTAAGTTCATTTTAGAGATCACAAGTGTACCACATAGATTTAGCAAGACTGCACTGCAAATGAGGGGCAGGATGAAAATGTGGAACATGGCATTTTTATATTGTAAATTACTTCTACAACTCTGGAACATTCACATTTAGAGATTATACCATCCTTAGTTGACTTACCTTTCCTATATATGATGCTATTATCAGGGGGAAATGTGAAAAGAAGGCTTTTCATATAGTTAAAAATATTCAGGTTTTCATGACCCATAAGTCATTTTTCCATAGCTCTCTTTGGTTCACCTGCTAGTAGGTTTCAGAAAGCTTCTCTCATATTTCTGTTAAGAAGCTGGTACCCTGTCAGAAGCAACTACCAAAAAATAATAGTCCAGTTCAGGTGACTCCATATCTGAATGCATATCCCATTGAACCAAGGATTCAAAAGGGATGAACCCATAGACACCTCTCTGTAGCATCTCTTAATGTCTAACTTGCAGTGAAAACATCTCCATTCCCATTAGGTCATTGAAGGCGAGTTAAGTCATGGAATAGGAACTCCAACTGTGAGAACTGTGTGAACCATTCAATGGCCACCAAAACCACACAAGGGGGCCTCCCCCATATGGTCAAAGACGGTCGCCTCCATATGGACACAAGATGGCCGCCACAAAATGGCTGGCAGGGGAGAGCAGTTGGGAGTAACCAGGCCTGCAGAGGAGAGCAGTTGGGTGCAACTAAGCCTTCAAGGGAGGGCAGTTAGGGGTGACCAGGCTGGCAGGGGAGGGCAGTTAGGGGTGACTAGGCTGGCAAAGGAGAGCAGTTAGGGGTGACTGGACAAGCTGGGGAGGGCAGTTGGGGGCTACCAGGCCATCAGGGGAGGGCAATTATGGGTGACCAGGCTGGCAGACAGAAGTGGTTAGGAACAATCAGGAAGGCAGGCAGGTAAGCAGTTGGGAGCCAGCAGTCCTGGATTGTTAGAGGGATGTCTGACTGCCTGTTTAAGCCCGTTCCCAAGGGATCAAGTCTAAACAGGCAATTGAACATCCCTCAAGGGGTCCCACATTGGATAGGGTGCAGGCTGAGCTGAGGGACACCCCCCAGCACGTGCACAAATTTTGTGCACCGGGCCTCTAGTTTGTATATAAAATGGAAAATCCTTATTCTTATACTGAGACACGATAAGAAAGGACCCTTGCTTCTGGGGCTCCCCAACCAGTTTTTTCCTAACGTAAGAAGAGAGAAATTTGGCCCAGCAAGATAGGCAGGAACAAGAATACTCTCCCAGGAATGCAAATGAGCAGAAAAGAATAGCCTTTCCCAAGGGGCTTTCCAGTTTTCACATGCTGCGCCCCCTCAGAGAACCAGGGGATCCTGGTGGTTTCCCCAGGCTTCAGGAGGAAAGAAGTCCTCACCTCCAGTACCAATACCTCAAGTCTACCAGAGCCTTCTGTTTCTCCCTAAAGATCTCTCTAGAACCACCAGCTGCAGAGAAAAGGACGGGAATCATGAAGCACTTGCTGCATGTCACCGTCCTTTATACTCAAATACAATAAACATTTGCTAAAAGTGCTGAAGAGCAACAGGACAGAGCCCACTGGCCACAACCCAGCACATCTAGTCCCTTTGTCCTCCGGATATCCGGCCTAGGGAACAATAGCCCACACCCAGACTCCCAAGCAATTGAAAGTGGCTACCCTCTTCATTCTACATTTCATTTTTCTAGCTGGACAAACAGGTTATTGGCAATCTTAAATTTCCCCAAGAGCTCCTGCTCCTCAGATAAGAGCTCCTATGCCTCTTCTGTTAGGTAAGAAGCAAGCTCAACAAGTAGGGAGGAACAGACTTCCTTTATGCTTTGAATGATAGACAATCAAGAGAGTGAGACAAAGGGACCAGAGGCTCTGTGGCAGACTGAGGACCCACATAAAATACCCATAAGCAAGTGACATGATGTGATATTGTGGAAAGAATTGGATTTAAAATTGAGGTACGTTCTTGTCTGATTTTTTACTCTTCTTTGATTAATTATTTAGGAATGTCAGTTAAACTCTCAGCCTTAATTCTCTACTCTTTAAAATCTCTAAGATTTAAAACAAAAGTGTCACAAGTGCAAAATGAAGATGATGTATCATAGGATCATACCCTTGCATCCTATATAATTTCATTAACCAATGTCACCCCAATAGATTTAAAAAATAAGGACATCTGTAATAGTGTCAACAATTAATTTAATTTTTTAAAAGGTGGCTTGTATTAGAAAATAATCAATGCTTATACCCTATAACTCTGCTTGTTTATACTTTATTATTTTTCTCAGAAAAGAAGATTTTTAAAAAATAATAGAATTCCCTTTGTTTCATTATGTGTGCATGAAACAAAGGTTTGGTAGAAGGTTTGGTCTTTAATATACAAGGAGAGTGAAATTGCTAACCGATCAGAGGGTATTGTGGCAACCTGGAGCCAACATGCTGAGTGGTCACAGAGGAAGAGTGGGGGCAGAGC